ATGTGAAATGATAGTTTTAGTTTCCCCTTGATTAAGTCCGTGGCTCAGGGAAAGAGAATGGTGTATACTTTTTTCTTTACACATTTAAAAAACAAGAAAGAAGAGAAGGGAAGAAGGCTGTGACAGAATTCTCACAGAGTTGGCATATCCCAGGCGGTTCCATCCTGGGACTCTATAGCACAAGGGTGCGTCCTAGGTAATGGATTATGGCCATGGGTCTAAATAAATCTAGCTTCTTCCTGAGACTTGGTGAACTGAGAAACATGGCATAGCTTGCTTTCCCTTGGGTTCATAGTGAAAATATACTGCCTTAGGATTTCACAGTGCTTCCGTTTTCAAAGTGCTTCCACATATAACAACTCTGTAAAGCTACCACACAGGCACTGTCACCCACGTTTTTCAGCCAAGGAGGAGGAGGTTGTAGCTTATCTTTGTGACTAATATTTGGTAGCAGCAATCATTTAGTATTATCATTGTCTTGTTTTTGTTTGCTTGTTTCTTTGTTTTGCTAGGATTGAGTAGACTTAGTCCACCCTAAGTCTATTGTAGCTTTTCTAGAGCTTGTCCTTGACCTCCAATACCCCTACTGAGCTTTTTCAGGTGACAGAATTCTCAAAGCCAAGATATGGACTGTTTTTACTTTTATCGTTTATGATACCAAATGTGTCACCACACTTGGTTACCATATTTTATTAAGATTTTTTTCATCTATGTGCATCAATGAGAGAGACCTAATAATTTTTCTTGTCTAGACCATCCATCTAGTCTCATCTAGTTTGGGTTTCAAAATTATACTATCTTTGTAAAATTAGTTGGGAAGTGTTCTCTCTTTTTCTATCTCTGAAAATTATACTAGCTCTATAAAATTAGTTGGGAAGTGTTCTTTCTTTTTCTATCTCTGGCACAGTTTGTATATACCAGAGATTTTCGGTCCCTCTCCTGAGAAGCCATCTGGGCCTGATGTGTGTGCACATGATGCTTTTGTGTAGATTTCTTAACTAGGGATTTGCTTTCTTTTGTTATTGATCTACATAATTCTTCTTGAGATTATTTTGGTAATTTCTATTTTTCTAGGATATTGTCCACTTAGTCTAATTGTTCATTTAATTGTATATAGAATTCTTGTAAGTTTTTAATCTCTGCTATGTCAATAGCCACATCCCATTCTTCATTTCTAATGTGTTTTAATGCCTCTTAATTTTGCAAGGTTGTTTCTTTCATTAGTCTTGGTCTTTTTTTAAACAATGTATATGCTGACAGGAGCCAGTTCCCCCAAAGGCAACTTGAGATTTGCAAATCAGGATTACAGAAAGTAACTTTCCCACCATTCTACCAAGATATAAGACGAGATATCCTAGCCACATGAGAATTTGTCCTTGTGCCCAACAGAATGGACAAGATACATGTTCTTTCCTAATGGCCCACAACCTATCTATGTGAAACATTAATTTAATACACCTTCATGGACAAATCAAGCATGTGAGTAAGTTCACTGTGAGTTGTCCATTCAAAGAGATATGCTAACTTGGTGAATAATTTCCTTAGAACTTCTTACCAGCTTCTCTCTTGAGACCCAGGCTATCGATTCCTTGCTAGACACCTGCCCCTGGACTTCCAGAGCACTTTAAACACTTGGGTGAAATTGCACTCATCATCTTCTTCCCCAAGCCTGATCTTTGAACTGCGTTCCCTAGAAACCACACTCCCATTCACTCAATCTAGCAACTTGTACCTCATCTTAAGCATCTCTTTTCTTTCTAGTCTCATTTCTCCAGTCCTTAAGCAGCCCCTCACCTCCTCCAGATTAGACTAGACTATTACAGGAGTCTTTCATTTGTGTTCCAAAATAGATTTCCCTACTTACAATTCCTGACTTCTCCAATATATCCTTCATGCTGCCCCAGAATTACCTGACCAAAATACACGTTGGACCACATCACTTACCTGTGGGCTCCCTATTACTTACAAAGTAAATTCCACACTCAGTGTAGGATTCAAGGCAGTTCACCATTGGTCTTTGTGTTATTTAGTTGGGAAGTTTTCATTCAGCTGGAGGTAAAGAGAAATACTCAACTAAAAATGACTTAAATGATGAGAAATATTTATTTTCTCACCTTACAAGAAATCCAGAAGTCTCCCAGGTGTTGTCCACCATTCTGCTCCAGCATGTTGGCTTTTGTCCTCAGGCCTGCCCGCTTTTGAACTCCAGGTGGCTGCTGCAGCTCAGACATGACACCCTCCCTCACATAAACATACAGAAAAAAACACATTCCTTCCTCTGCAAGAAAACTTGCCCAGCAGCCCCTAGTAGATTTTCCCTAATATTTCTCTGGCCAGGATTGTATCACATGCTCCTGCTAACAGTCATAGCCTAGGAGATAGAGTTGTGGTATTTGGTTTACACAAATAAGTATACACATCTTGAAATCAGGGTTCTTCCAGCAAGAAAGAAAGAAAGCAGGCGAGAGGGTTTGGAGTGGCCACTATTACTATCCACCAGAGTTTACACTCAGCAGTTAACCCCATGCACACACCTCAGGTCCCTGGCCTCTGGTTATTATCACCATTCTCAAAACTTAGCGCGTTTCATTGTTTTATGCATTCTTTCTTCCTTTACCGTATGCCTCCATACCATTCTCCACCTTTAGAAACACTCCATTCTTCACAGCTGTTAGATCTGAGCTGCTTCTGACATACCATCAGCATTAATCTTGCACCAGGCCATGTGTTCATAGTGTGTTCCTCATTTGTTTCCTTCTGCCCTTGTCACAGTTGTACATGTGACTTCTATTCCAGTAGATAATAAAGGCCCTGGTTTATTCAGTCTTGTCCTTCCTATGGCCCTTATCACAGTGCCTTAAATGTAGCAATAAATGTTTGCTGAATTAAGTTGAATGCCAATTAACATTACACTTGTTTGGTTTGCAGGTCTGTGCTGCCAACATTGTCTCCCACGATGGTGAACAGAATGGTCTCATGGGGAGAGTAGATGAAGGTGTAGATGAATTTTTCACCAAGAAGGTGACCAAAATGGATTCTAAGTGAGTTCAGAGTCATTACTAATAATACTTTTTAATTTCACATTTAAATTACTAACAACTAACAATTAACTTTGTATACTAAGGCTCATTTACACACACACACACACACACACACACACACACACGTGTATATACATGTTTTTTAATGGAATTTACTGTTCTGATGGTTTGCAAAATGTGATCTCTGGGCCAGCAACATCACTTTCCATCCCTATCATCTGGGATCTTGTTAGGAAGGCAAATTCTCAAGTCTCCCCCAAACCTACTGAATCAAAAACTCTGGAGGTGGTGCCCTGCATTCAGTGTTTGAATAAACCCTCCAGGGGATATACTGAGCATGCTCAAGTTTGAGACCCATCATGCTATTTTAAAACAGACCACAAAACGTACCATCCCAAAGTGTTTGTCTAGGGTGTTATCACCTTCACTTGGATGATTCTATTACGGGGCAATGAGCTTCGACAGCTGAAATTACTTATATCTAAATTCTCCTTGTTCATAATCTCACATATATGAGGGCTGTACATCATTGCTAGGTGGCACAACCTCAACAGTGTTTCAAAATGACAACAGAATTAATGAAGAGGCTTCAGAGTTAGCCTCTGAAATGTTCTGTCTGCATTTTCTTATTACTAGGTGGAGTTTTCTTAAAAGATGGCTTAGGGGTACTTTTATTAACAGTTGTTTAACTTAAAATACTCTATATTCTTTAACATTATTGATACCAAGTTTTTAAATCCCTAACTAAATGGAGATCCATCTCAAAATACACTCTTAACCTGGATTTGTGTCTACGAAGTGTTCTTCACCTTGAGATATCAAATTCAGGAAGGAATTGAAACCATATGATAAGCCGAAGGTGGGCAGGCCGATCACAGGTACGGAAGAAACCAGCCTATTCTGCGGATTGATGTGCGTTATCTTGCCTCAGCAGGATGGTGAGGCAGAATTTTTATAGCCATAACAGTGCGACTTACTGAATGTTATAAGCTTCTGGACCCGGTCATTTATCTTTGACACTGGCCTTGAAGGTTGGCATACTAAGAAAAATTCTATTCTATGCCTCAAGAACCAACCTAAATGTCATTTATTCTTTGAAGCTTTCCCATAACTGCTCCCTCTGCCCGCCATGTTAATTGCTCTTTCTCTTAAGCTGACTCAACACTTTTTTTTTTTTTTTGTCCTCGGAACACATCTGTGAGGAGAAACATAATCCTCAGTGAGTTTGTTTGTTTTTATAGCTAAGGGAATGGATGAACAGATTCTCAATGTTAAAGCATCAAGCAATACCAACATAAACAGACCAAAACTGGAAAGTCCCTCTTAATGATTTGCTTTCAAGTCTTTTTTCCCCATAGAAGGCTGCTGTTGTTATTCAGAAGCAAATGTGGGTTTTATTTTTCATTCTAACGTAAGTGTCTGACGCAGCCTATGATGTGTAGTCAGCCCTCAACCACTATTGGTTGAATGAATGAAGATGATCTAGGCCTGTGTATAAACTACAGATAGCATTGTAGGCTCTTTTTTTTTCCCCAAACTTTAGAAATGGATATTTAGTTAGAGGAAAGGTCTATGTACGTTTGACCTGAACCCCGTGTGTTGCTATACCTGCCCCAGTGTGATTTCCTCTACCCTACATGCTACGTCTTTAGTAGGCTTAGAATGAAAGTTGGGCATATTTTATAAGGTATAAAATCTGCTTTCTACAAAGACACTGCTCTAGGAGGATTCTGTTATGTTCCAGAACAAATAGAACCGGATACATTAATTTTCATCATATAGTGATGGACTCTACTAGAAGTTGTGATTTGTTTCATTTCATTTTGCTATATAAAAGCAGATATTGTCAGTTTGATATGTAAAGGTCTGAGCATAGGTAAAACCATGAAATGATGTGAAGAAAGTTTGAAAATCACAGTTTTATATGCTTATAATTTAAAATGTCATACGTTCTACAAGACTTTTTATCAACAACAAAAAAAGTTCCTTGTTTCTTTCCCTGTTCCTCAGATGCAAGTAATTCCTATTCCTTTAGCTGTTCATTTATTTTTTTATTAGTTTCATGTGTACAAAACAATGTAATAGTTAGACATTTATACCCCTCACAAGGTGATAACCCCCTCCCCCAATCTACTACCCCTCTGACATCATATAGTAGCTGTTACAATTCCATTGACCCTATTCCCTATGTTGTTCTCCGTACCCTGTGACTATATATATATATATATATATATATATATATATATATATATATATAAATAATATTAATTATATATATTAAATTATAGTTGACATTCAGTATTATTCAGTTCAGCTTCAAGTGTACACTGTAGTGGTCAGGAATCTACACCGTCCATGAAGTTGACTCCCTAATAAGACAAGTGTCCATTGCATACTCTACGAAGTCTTTACATTATTGATTATATTCCCCAAATTGTCTTTCGTATCCCCGTAACAATCTTGTGGTTACCAATTTGTGCTTTCTAATCCCCTCACCTTCTCCCTCATCCCCACCCCACTCCAATCATCAATTTTTCTCTGTATCTCTGAGACTATTTCTGTTTAGTTTGCTTATTATTCAGTTCTCATATATATGTGAGATCATATGGTATTTGACTTTCTCCGTCTGACTTATTTCACTTAGCATAATGTTCTCTAAGTCCATCATATCATTGCAAATGGTAAGATTTCATTCTTCTTTATGCCCGAGTAATACTCCATTGTATAAATATACCACAGTTTCTTAATCCAGTCATCTACCGATGGGCATTTTGGCTGTTTCCATGTCTTGGCTATTGTGAATAGTGCTGCAGTAAACATAGGGGTGCATATATTTTTTTGAATTAGCGTTTTGGGTTTCTCTGGATAGATATCTAAGAGCAGAATTGCTGGGTCATAAGGTAGTTCCATTTCATTTTTTGAGATACCTCCATACTGATTTCCATAATGGCTGCACAAATCTGCGGTCCCACCAACAGTGCACCAGGGTTCCCTTTTCCCCAAAACCTCGCCAGCACTTGTTGTTTGTTGATTTATTGGTGATAGCCGTTCTGACCGGAGTGAAGTGGTATCTCATTGTGGTTTCTATTTGCATTTCTCTAATGACTAGTAAGTTGAGTGTTTTTTCATGTCTGTTAGCTATCTGTATGTCCTCTTTAGAAAAATGTCTCTCATGTCCTCTGCCCATTTTTTAATTGGGTTAGCTGTTTATTTTTTACTTTGCTTACATATTCCTTAATAACATTTTTTTTGCTATTTTCTGTTTTTCAGATTTAGATAGTAACTATAACTGTTGACTTCTTACTATAGCAGATAATAGTAATTTAGGTCTTACACACTCTGGCCCTACTGCCCAATCCAGCTAACCCATGCAGACAAACACACACACACACACACACACACACACACACACACACACACACACACTTTCCTCTCCCCATCTTCTAACTTCTAATTTAGTTATATCTAAATTGTTGGTTCCATCAATATTGACTGTTGACTTCATTATAACCATGTAAATACGCATAACTGAGTTATATGTATACTATGACATTCCCTTTCCTAGACAACATTGTATTTTCCCTGGGGTTAATAATTGTCCCATTTTCATTTGCTTGGTTTCCTGTGTTGCTATCACTGACATACCTCTAAGTCTCCAGTAAAGGGATAAACTCTCTCAGTTTCACCTTCATGGACCATCCTTCACTGCTGTCTTACTGACTCCACTGTGACGACCTATAAGCCCATTCCACTGCTGTCATCCTGGGGTCTCCCTTCCTCATCTGCCTGGGTCTTCCTTCCCCTCCTTCCTGTATCCTTTTCCTATTTCCTTTGGCCTGTGTCGTCTTCTTCCTTACTTTACTCCCTTGTTTGAGTGGAGCACCTCCTGGGCTTGCTTTCTGAGAAAGGAAGCATGAGAGATGAGTTTCTGAAACTCATGTGTTTTCATTGTGATTAATAGTGTAACTAGGTTTAGAATTCTAGATTGGAATTCATTTCACCTTAGAATTTTGAAAACTGTTCCCTTTATCTTGGAATTTCTGGTGTTTCTATATGAATCCAATGTCATTTTAAGTTCTGATCTTTGTTTGTAACTGATATTTTTCCTCTTCTCCAGAAGCATTTGGGGTCTTCTCTTTGTTTCAGTATATTGAAATTTTGTGATGATAATGATCTGGGTCGCTCTTTTTTGTTTGTTTTAACCCATTTGCTGGGCACTACTGGGCCATTTCAATGTGGAGATTCACATCCTTTAGCTCTGAAATTTTAAAACAAATATTTGTCTTAATTTTTTCCCTTCCTTTTTCTCTATATTCTTTTCCTTAAACCTTCAGTATTCAAATTATGTGTTTCCTCTATTAATTCACTAGGTTTTTTTTACCTTTTCTCTCCTATTTTATCATTCTTTTTATTACCCTGCCCCCCATTTTCTGAGAAAGTTCCTCAGTTGTGTCTTCCGATCTTGAGTTTTCCACTTCTGTAATCACATTTTACTGCTATTCTTTTTTTCATAGTTGCAACATTTTTTCTCTGTCATGTTGAAATGGAAGGGGCACTAACGAAATGCATTTGTTTCTGGGCTTTTCCTACTAATGCTTTAGTGGTCATCTTTCCCAGATTAAGTCAGTTTTCACTCATTACTATTTTGCCTTCCAGGCTTTATTAGTTTTTCCTTTTCTCTGAGGTTTACACCTTTTTTTTTTTTAATCCCTTGCAATGGTTTTATAGGACACTCGGGAGCTAACAGTGTTCAATCTGCCAACTTTAAATGAAAGGCAGTGATGGTTCATCCCACTCAGCCCATTTTATTTCCACTTTCTCCTCATCTAGTTCCCAAGTTTCTGAATATTCTTTTTGACAGTCCTCTGCCAAAGCTGTCTATCTTCATTTTGTTGCCTCTTTCCGTGGTATTACATTTAAGCAAGGATCCAAGTCTTTGTGTTGAACACCAAGGGTGGGATTTCAGATGTTATCTAATGATAACATGGAAGGATTTTCGGGGGTTATTTGGAAATCTGGCCCTTTTTATTGTGCACCAAATTAAATGAGGCAGTCACTGCCCTGCCACCTTCCCAGCTCCTCACCCCTGTGTCTAGAGTGCAGACAGCTTTGTTGGAAGTTATTTCAAGTGGAGAGACACTTGACTATTGACTAGAACATTTAAATATTAAACAAACTAACCTCTGCTCCCAGTCCTACCATTCTCAGTCTTAGCTTGTCTGTGCCTTAGTGCCCTCATCTATGGATATAATAATAATATTCCACCTTCCTCTTTATTTCCTAAGTGCAATGACTCTCTCATCAACTTTCAAATGCTTCAGAATGGTTGCCATACAAACAGCAATCTTTTTTATATTTTGACTGATTGTTGCTGGAACTTGAGTTACAGTAAAACCAGCAGGATTTGTTCTTTTGAATCACAGGAGATCGTCAGCAAGAGGCTCAGATTTTCATGAGCTTAGTGAAGGAAGTGATGAAAAGAAAAAGCGAGATTCTCGGAAAAGTGGCTTTCTCAATTTAATCAAATCCCGGTCCAAATCTGAGCGACCACCAACGGTCTTGATGACAGAAGAGCCCTCCTCACCAAAAGGGGTGGTTAGAAGTCCAGCCATAGATACACCCAGGAGGGACATGAAGCCAACCGAGCACAATGGCAATTCTGAACGGATGGAAGATATAAAAACACCCGACTCCCTTGAAGAAAGTCAAGGGGAAGACATGGGAAAGGTGGAACGCAATGACAGCAAGGGCAGCCCGCAGGGAGGGCGGAGGTACGGGGTCCAGGTGATGGGCAGTGGTCTGCTGGCCGAGATGAAGGCCAAGCAGGAGCGGAGAGCGGCTTGTGCACACAAGGTAAGGCAGGGGCCCTTTTGACTCGTCTTTGGGTTTTTCCCCCCATGGGTGAGAGAGGTACAGAAAATTAGCCTGTTGGTTAAATAAAAATCCAAAAACCAAAGACTCTTTTCTGAAGAACCGAGATCACTGACCACAAAGGCATGGTCATGTTTTCCCTTTGGCGCTAGGGCCAGGCTCTTCCCAAAAGCCACAGCAATTGAGGTAAGTTGGTGACTGTACCTGCCCAGGTGCTTCCTGTGCATTTTATAGAAGTGTGTGACAGCAGCTCCAGAGAAATGCTTGAATCAGGGAAAAGACTGAGTCTGTTGAATTGCGGTGGAGACCTGAGGGTGACTGGAGATAGGAGAACTGACATCGACAAATAAAAACACTGAAGCCAGGTTCCAATTATAGAAAGCTAGATTTATTTTTCACTTGTTTCATAATTTATTCTCTTTTTACAAACCTAAAAATTCCTTGCGATATTCCAGATTTAAAAGTCAAAAAGCCAAAAACTGCACATCAATTTTATTTGAAGTATCAGAATAATTGTTTTAAGTTCACCTCAACGAACCCGTGATTTTCAGAAAGTACATGGGTGGGGAGGACTGTTTATATTACTTACAAGCAACTGATCATTTTTTCATTAAATTCTGTCTCCCACATGATTTTACCAACTTCCCTCCATAGTTCTTTCTACCTTCGGTACCCCGTTATCTAGCAATTTCCTGGTTACAGATACCTCCTACCTTACTAACCTTAGGGAAGAGTTGAGGGGGACTATATAACTCTATTCTGCCAATTCAACATGGGAGGCATGAGACAGCCTTCACTGGTCAGAATTCTGAATAAATACTATGAGCACATCATTGATGAGTTGGATGCCCTAGAAAATGTTTATATTTTAATCTGTTTTATAGGATTTCTTTGAAACAGTAAATGTATTGTTTTCACCAATGAGCAGTTTATTTTATCACTGTCTCCATTGATGAGCAGTTGCCTTTTGGTGGAAAGATGAGACGTGCTGCAGGGCTTTTTCCATGTGCTTTGGATTTGATATGTAAATTGGCTGAAAATGACCAAGTCCTTATGGTTTAATATTTTTATTTGTTCAAGGCTTATACCAGCGATGTCTTAGCACCATCTAGTGTCTATTTGAAACAACAATAATGATAAAAATAGGTATTTAAAATTTGAACCACTCGGGAGTATTCATTCTATCTGAATAACAAAAAAATAAGAGAAAGAGGTTTTTTTTAATTAGTTTTATAATATTTTCCCCTAAAATTCTATTGCTGTATTCTTTATAAAGGTAGCAACATAAGCATCAGTGGTAAATATACCATTAATAAAAAATATATATATGTCATCTTCACTTTCCAATTCTCTTTACACTATTCGCTTTTAATATGTGTATTTCAAGAAAAAGAACTGTGAAATGAAGATATGGCATCTAATACTTATTAACAAAGGAGAGTAACAGACATTGAATGCTTAGAAGCCACATCTTTTCTGCTGGGGCCATGTAGTCAGCTGTCTACACTCAATCAGTTGGCTGAGTCCTAGCTTTATCCTTATAGTTCCTACCTTTAGAGAGTGGTATTTAACCTTCCCCATCTCTGCCATCACAGACTCATTCCATCTGAAGTTTGTGGGTTTTGTAAATTAATTCCAGCCTGTTCACCTGTATTTGCCTCTTAAACAATAGATCTGTGTCCTTTGGCTCTGCCTCAGTGTCAAGGAAGACCCTGCCCATTTGGGGGCCCCTTTCACCAATTTTGTACATCAAAGTTGAAAAGGTTTCCACAGCTTTTAAAACTTGATTTTTGGAGCCCAACTTGGAGAGGGCCCTGTGAATTTATAGAGGTGTCAGTTGCCCCATCACAGGGAGCATCAGGGGCAGCAGAGCCCACATAGCAGTTCAACAAGAAAAACAGGAAGCAGCTTCCCCAGACCCACACACCTCTCACCTGTGGGGAGCTTCCAAGGAACTGGCCGCCCTGTGGCCCCAGAGCCCTGACTGTAAACACAAAACAGAAGGTATTCCTCAGAGCCTTTTCCTGAGAGCCTCAGGGAGACAGAGGTCAGACACCATCAGTGTAACAGCAGTAGAGCTGAGGCATTCCTTGTTGCCTTTTATTACTGCTTTGTTTCTTTTTCTTACTCTTAAATAAATATGTACTTGGGGGGGGGGTGTGCTTGAATTTTTTAGAAGCTTGGGAATGACACCATCTCCCAGGAGTCTTCCAGCCTGGCCATGAGCAGCACAGAACGGTTGGATGGAGGTGGGGCAGGTAAGTCAGGCTGTCGCCATCACCCCCTTAGGAAAAACACTTCCTTACTTTCTGGTTCTAGGAGTCGCACGTGATTGACGAGAAAAATAAAGATAGGGAGGCAAGAACAGGCCGCTGTGTTGTATATTCTCAATTTTCACCTAAAAGAAAACGACCTTCTCTTGCCCCAGCTCCACTTGGAGGCACCTCTCCCACCACTAGTATAGCTGTGTGCCTGGATAGGGCACCTTTTCTAATTCCTAAAAAGAAATTGCATTGAGAGGAACTCCCAAGCTGTGGGCATTTGCAGAGGGAGGACATGTTGGGAACATGGCTGATGTTTTTTAAACACGTCGTACATAGTATGTGGAAGGTGGCTCTTTTGTTTGATAGGAGGGAATGTTCTCGCCTTTCAGCTTGAACATCCATAAATACCTCGTGTCCTTCGTCCCGCCCACTTTTCAGGTATAGTAAAAGAATAAGATACCTTAGATGGAAACTGGAGAGTGACTTGAAAATTGCCTGTTAGCAACCTCATTGTGCCGTTTGGAAGTTTTTATGCTTTCGTCTCTTCATGCAGTCAAGGAATATAAATTGTATTTAACAGGCTTATTTTTGCCAGTCATCCGGTTAAATTAAGGCAGCAACAGGGATAGAGGCTGGGCGTAAGATGACATTTCTGAGCTGTTCTCACGAACCATGAGGTTCTGGCCGTTGGCATAGCCTTCCTCCCTCAGGACCTGCAGCTGGACCCCTCACTGATTATTGTCCAGAACTGTGGTGCCCATAGTTGGTTATACCTGGTGCCCATAGTTGGTTATACCTGGTGCCCATAGTTGGTTATACCTGCACCTTGTGCCAGGTCCGGGGAAGATCTGACTGCTTCAGGTGCGTTAAGAACTGCTATCTCGGCACATTCATGTGGACCTGCACACTGTTCATTGGGAGGCTTGTCATTTGTGCAATAGTCAGGGGTGATCAGAAGAGCACCATCAAGTCCATTTTCTATGAAGAATTTTAGTCTTCCACCAGCATGTTTCTGTTCTAAAAATATATATAACGGGAAATGACTAAACAATTTCAGCAATTTGGGCCAGGCTTTTCCTCGCTTCACATGATTGGTTTCTTTCACCTTTGATTTTTTAACATCAAGTGTGCTTTTTGTACCCATTTTCACTTCAGTGCCTAAACTGCACCCAGGTCTACCGGAGACCCGCTTCAATTTGGGGACCCCAGAAAAGAATGCCAAAGCAGACCCCAAAGCGGACATGGGCTCCCGCCGGAGCTCCTGCAGCACACCCACCAGCCCGAAGCCCCTCCTGCAGTCCCCTAAGCCCAGCCTGGCGGCACGGCCCAGCATCCCACAGAAACCGAGAACCGCCTCACGACCTGGTAAGGGTTTTTCTGGTCAGGGAGTGACACTGAGACCAGTGGCTTCCCAAGGCGATTGGGTTGGGACTCCAGTGACGGTTTCCAGAGCTGCCTATGAATGTGGGCTCGGGGTCTACAGAGGGAGTCATGAGAAGCCTGCCAGAGTCTGTGGAATTGACGAAAGCTGGAAGCTTCCTTTATTCAGCAGCAAGGCCACCAACTCAGAGACTGTCCTTGCATTCAGGGCAACAAGCTGCAGGGTGAAACTGGAAAAGCAGTGTTTTTTTGTACTGACCCATTTGTAGTTCTTGAGGTCGCTTTCTGAAACCTGTCTCCAGGGTGGAGAGACCCTTCAGAAGGCTGCCATTTAAGGATGAGGGACACAAATAGGGATAGCGTAAGTTTCTGTTTTTACCTCATAGTCTGTGAATTACTTAGGGTTTAGAACAGGGCTTGGCAAACTGGGGGCCTGTTTTGTAAATACACTGTCACTGCGTTGCCACACCCCGTGTGCACACATCATCTCTGGCTGCTTTGTGCTCAAGGGGCAGAGTTAAGTAGTTGCGACAGAGGCCATTTCACTTGCAAAGCCTAAAATATTTACCATTTGGCCCTTTACAGTAAAAGTTGCCTAACTCTAGGTTTAGCAAATCGAATGACAGAAGAAACTTAAAAGCATTAGAACTGAATTAGGATCTGCCTTATTCTCTCCTATAACTGCCTCTTTTCCCTGTCAGGTCTTTTTCTCTCTCTCCAACTTTCTATCATAATAAATTTTAAACATATACAAAAGTAGAATGATAATACAGTGAACCCCATATCACCACTTTATTTCCCCATAAAAATTCGTCAAATAAAGATAGAGATATACAGTCAGATTACGCTTATCATCATCATCATCATCATTGCTGCTAATCTAAACTGAACACTCAACTCTGTGCCAGGTACTGTTCTAAGTGCTTTATGTGGATAAGCTCCTAATGTCCTCACTATAGCTCCATTTTACAGATGTGGACTGTGAGGCACAGAGATGCTCGGTTTGCCGAGGCACACAGCTAGTGAGTGGCAGCCAGTTTCTACCACCTGTAGGTGGGGACCTCTCTTCGCCTGGGCTCTTCCCAAGGGGCATGTGTTTGGAAAGAAAGATGCCCAGTTCATCACAGTCATTCATTAATATGCCGATAATTTGGGTAGAAAGAGAAGAGAGACAGTGTCGCAAGTACCAAACTCATTTCACTTGTAGATCTTTTTCATTTTCTCTTAAACATTTCTTTCACTCACCACGCATCCAGTCTGGTTAATCCTCTCTGGTCCCTCAAATCACCCAGTGCACAGTCTTCAAGGAGAAGCCACAAAGAAAGGGATACACTGGGGTCACCTCAAGTAACTAACCCTTGAAGCAGATCACTTAGGATTTCTGATTCTACTCAAATCTTTTCACAAACCAAAGTTCGTTATAATGGGGAACACAAAAGCTTCTTGGTGGACGCAAAATAGCTTCATAATACAAAGAGTGGGGAGAATGAAGGCAAAGAAAATAGTTTTAAATAATGACTACTCAAAAACAGGTAGGCATTTATATCAGCTTGGTGTGTCTCTAGTCCAAAGTAAGGAAACAGCCATTATAAAATGAACTTAATCTAATTTGTGGAGTATTTTGTCTCCTCGGATGCTAACGGTTAATAGAAAACTAGCCGATTCCCAATATTGTATTGCAGAGAGCGTTTATTTTACTTTACTTGCTAAATGTGTTCTTAGTACGTACTATATTAAGAAGCATGTTAACTAGCTAATGTTTCTATAAAGCTTGAGAATTCAGTAGGCATTTTCAAATATACCATCTCACTTCCACTCCACAGGTTCTGAGAGATTGTTGAGATAGGTAGTCATTTTCAGTGTCTTGACACATCCCTGCTTATGTAGTGAAGCACGTACGACGCTTCAATTGGAAATATGAGGCTGAAGAGGACCTAGCTAAAGGTTGTCTTCTGCACACTCACACTTTCTCTCACACACACACACACACACACACACACACACAAAGACACACACACACACATTCACACACACACACACATTCACACACACACACACATTCACACACACACACACAAAGACACACACACACACACACACAAAGACACACACACACAAAGACACACACACACACACACAAAGACACACACACAAGTGCCAAATCGAGAATTACCTTGCTGGTAACAGCAGAGAAAGGAGGGCAATTCCATAAATCCTTTAATTAGAGTGAAACAGCACAGCCTTCAGAATTAAGAGACTAGAGTTCTAGTGTTAGCTATCTTGCCACATTTTTGGTTTAGCAGGTCCTTTAATCTCTTTGTACAGTGATCACCAAAGTCCTTTCAGTTTGTTAAACTCCATGATTCCAAGTTATTCTTAGTAGTGTCAGTATGTGTATGTAGGTACATGTACCAACATGGACAAATACGTGTGTGTGTGTGTGTGTGTGTGTGTGTGTGTGTGTGTGTGTGTGTGTATATATATACGTATATACACACACACACTTTAATGGTTTTGACAACAGGTAAAGGTGGTGGGTTTTAAATTTTGCATATTTTAAGAAAACCAAATAGCTTTTGTGTTTCAGGCAGAAAAAACAGTTCACTTACAGTCTAATTTTTAAATATCAGCTCATTGGAATTCTGTATCTACAAGATAGATTTACATCTGTGCAGACTTTAACCTTTCTTCTGTTTTCATTATTTTTCTTTCTGTTTTTTGTGGATGTTATTACTTCACTGAGCAGAAACATGAAACTAGTTTTTGGCCAGAAAAATTCAGTGCTTTTCAAAAATTATTAGTCACCTGTATTGAAAGAATAACCCGATTTACGTTTTTTTTTTCTTTTTTAATAAAACTTTTTGCCTAGCAAAGAATAGCATTTACTAATTACCATAGTGATAAGAGTAACAAATTTTTCTAAATATGATTCTAAGCCAGTAGCAAAATACCTGGAAAAGCCCATTTGGTTGTGGAAAGATAAGCCTGAATGAAATAGGGCCTGAATTTAGTGAGTGACAGTATAAAAGGAATGCTGAATTGCTCTGAATGAACCAATGGGAAATACTGTCTGTATATTAACTCTTGAGAAAAGGTTAAGTCTAGAGCAGGGGTCGGCAAACTTTTGAGACGGAAGAGCCACCAGGGGTCTGCAAACTGCGGCTCGCGAGCCACATGCGGCTCTTTGGTACGTACATGTGGCTCTGAAGTAAAATTGAAAATGAAAATAAAACTATGACAGTTTCATTTATAATATTACATTAAATTTTTCTTATTTGTAAAAATATATTTATGGCTCTTGAATAATTTTCAAATTGTTGTGAGGGACAAGATTGTCTCTTCCGGGGTCGGCTAACTTTTGAGACAGAATGTACCCAAAGAGCCGCATGTGGCTCACTAGCCGCAGTTTGCCAACCCCTGGGAGAAAACAGAGGAAGTAGAGGGAACAGAAAACAAGGTGGGAGACCAAAGCCTGAGGTATTTGAAATAGCCAAATAACTCTTTCAGAAAAGGTTTATCAACTACTCAATTTAAAATCCCTTGCATTGCTGAAATGAGACACTCCTTTTCCCTCCAAGCTTTCAGTAAAAATTTTACTACAAAGAGCCTGTATGAGTGTTATCTGTATGTAAATCAAGGAAAAGGAACAGAGCTCCAAATCTGAGCCAGCATGAAGCTGGCTTAAGAAACGCAAGATAGAGAGTAGAGAACAAAAATCTAGACAAAAGCCAGAAATCAGAGGCAGAAAACCAAGAGAAACTGTGATTTGTTTTCTACCCAGGTATCCCTTCTCAGATTCTGGTAGCTTAACCCCATCTTCCTTTAGTAAATTACCTTTTCCCAGTTTCTTGTGGTACTTTTAATTTAGTCTCATTATCCCACCTTACTCCTCAGGGCCACAGAGGTGGTCTGTGACCCAGGTCATGTCAATCACAGTTTTCTTTTCCTTTCCCTACAGGTCTGGCCCAAGGGGTGGCCCCCATAGCATCAGTTAAAGACCTTCTCTTTAATTAAGGAATCTCAGATGTTAGATGGATCTAATCTTACCTAGCTATATTTTTTATTATAGTAAAATATATAAAACAAAATTTAACATTTTAACTATTTTAAGTGTACAAGTTGTGGAATAAAATACACTCACATTGTTGTGCAACCATCACCACGGAATCTTTCTCCAGAACTTTTTCAACTTCCCAACTTATTTTGCTTAGCAAAATAATCTCAAAATCCATCCATGTTGTTGCAAATGACATTATTTCATCTTTTCTGAGGGCAGAATAGTATTCCATTGTGTATATATACCACATCTTTATCCAATCATCTATCGAAGGACACTTTGGTTGTTTCCATGTCTCGGCCACTGTAAATAAAGCTGCAATGAACATCCAAGCATATATCTTTACAGATAAATGTTTTCAGATTTTTTGGGGTAGATACCCAGGAGAGGGATTGCTGAGTCATATGGTAATTCTATTCTTAATTTTTTGAGGAACCTCCACACTGCCTTCCATAGTGGCTGCACCAATCTGCGTTCCCACCAACAGTGTATGAGGGTTCCTTTTTCTCCACAGCCTCTCCAACACTTGCTATTATTTGTCTTCTTGATGATGGCTATTCTAACTGGTGTGAGGTGATATCTCATTGTGGTTTTATTTGCATTTCTCTGACGGTTAGTGATGTTGAGCATTGTTTCATATGTCTATTGGCCATTTGTATGTCCTCTTTGGAGAAATGTCTTTTCAGGTCCTCTGCCCATTTTTTAATTGGATTGTTTGTTTTTTTGTTGTTGAGTTGTATGTGTTCCTTATATATTTGGATGTTAGCCCCTTATTGGAGGTATTGTTTGCAATAATCTTCTCCCATTCGTTTGGTTGCCTCTTTATTTTGTCAATGGTTTCTTTTACTATGCAGAAGCTTTTTTGTTTGATATAGCCCCATTCATTTATTTTAGTTTTTACTTCCCTTGCTTTAAGGTGAAATTCATAAAATGCTCTTTGAACCCAAGGTCCATAAGTTTAGTACCTATGTTTTCTTCTATGCAGTTTATTTCAGGTCTTATGTTAGGCCTTTGATCCATTTTGAGTTAATTTTGGTACATGGTGACAGATAGAAGTCTAGTTTCATTCTTTTTTTAGCTGAGCCATCCTGCTACCTATTGGGAGCTCAGCAGCTCCTCAGCTCGGGCTGGACTCGAACCGCTGTTGCTCAGAGCTCAAACTCTTGAGCGAGCTCTTAACCAACTGAGCCACTCGGCCGGTCCTCTAGTTTCATTCTTTTGCATGTGGCTTTCCAATTCTCCCAGCACCATTTATTGAAGAGGCTGTCTTTTCTCCATTGTATGTTTTTGGCTTCTTTGTCGAAAATTATCTGTCCTTATTTATGTGGGTTTATTTCTGGGTTCTCAGTTCTATTCCATTGGTCTGTGTGTCTGTTTTACTGCCAATACCATGCTGTTTTGATTATTGTTGTCATGTAGTACAAGCTGAAGTCAATCCAGCTTGTGAAAGTTTGACTCGTGTGTTTGTGTCTCCACAGAGGATGTCCCAGACTCTCCACCTGGCCTGAGTTCCCCGAAAGTTGCTCTTCTTCCACCTGTCCTGAAAAAAGTTCCTTCCGACAAGGAAAGAGAAGGCCAGGGTAGCCCCCAGCCCAGCCCCAGGACGTTTTCCCAGGAAGGTAAGAAATATTTTTCTCCAGAATAGCTCTCCTCAAGGAAGGTCATTTCAAGAGAAAGAAATTAATCCTGGACTTAACTAATATCTTAGCTTTTGCTTAAGTCAGCATCCCTTGGGTTACATTTTGGTACCAGAGCAGTTTCTTAGTTCAGAAACTCAATTCAACATTATTGATAACATTGGATCTTAAAGGACTGCATACAAAGAATGAAAAGCGTAACTGAGATACCAGCCCAGAGGTCTCACGTCTTTGTAACAGTCATCACTAGATCCTCCAGCACTGGCTCCCAGCATATCAGGAGTGCCTTAAACATTATTTAGTGACTCATTTGGTGCTACTTGTAGGTTCCCAGGTCCCATTATTTCCAAGAAACGCTTCCCCTGATTGTAAATGACCATTGCCATGGTTCAGGAGCAGCCTGCCTAGGCCTGAATGACCATGTGGTCTCTGTGCTTGCTCAGTCACGACATCAGACGTTGCTCATTCTCAGCAGTGTGACACCTGCATGGACACTCTCAGGGCATCATCGCACCAGTTTGTTCCTTCTAGTTTATGGAGTAGGAGCAGAGCGAGATAACCCTGGGATGTGCATGCCATCTCCCAGAGTCAGATCAGGAGTGGTGATGAGTGGAGGTGAGGCTTCAGCACCCCACCATCTTTTTCCCCCACCTCCCTCATTCTGTTGAATGCAGTTGACTCTTGGGTTCTGTCCTTATAAAGTGGAATGTGATTGCTGTCTTTAAGCCCCACCTCTAAAGGAATTCTGGAGCCAGACAAGTCCTCACTGTGTCCAGGTGGCTCTCAATGTGGGTTGCGGTTGCTTTGTTTTATTTCAGATTTGTTTGATACTTTAGAATTCTTTGGCTTCTTGTCTCTGACATCTTCCTGCATTGGCCAGTTTTATTTTATGGATGGTAGTCTTGGGTTGAAGTTAATGGGAAGTGTTTCTGAGTACTGTGTTTGTAATTTGAGAGTCTAATCAAAAAAAATAATAACACTGCCTGCTTCCTCATCTCCATTCTGCAGATTTGTTTGGTGGGTACAAGCTTCACCCACCTGTTGGCTAAAAATAAAAGAAGGTGGGGGTTTGACCAAAGCTGATAAACCACTTCTATCACACAGAAAACCCAAAGCCATGAAAGGTGTCTGGCAACTAGAGTTGTATCACATGTGGTAAATAAACACAGGGCTTGGTGTTACAGTCACAGCCCTTTGAAGTCTTGGGGTAGAAAGGGCCTTTGGTGGTGCCAGATCAGAGTGACTTGAGCCAGCAAGTGTCCCTGACAGCCGTGCTTGTGCCACACAGCCCCTCCCCCATACCTACCTTCATTTTCCTTCCTTTCTGCAACTACTGACTTTTTGTCTTCACTTACAAGAAGCTTTGAAAAATGCCTGAAAGAACCTTGAGAGAAATGTGGAGGGGGGATGGGTGGAAGTGGTTAAGTAGGTATGTTCGTTTTGTCAAAAGCAATTGAAATATTGGAAGAGTTAAAATGAAAAGGTCAGAAGGTGAAATAAAGAACAACATTTTTACCGTGATGTTTTCTAGATGCCTATATGATTCAAACAAGGCCTAGAGTAACCCACCAGCCTCATGAGTAAGAATGTGTATCACAGAGCCTCTGTAGTTTACAAAGTGGGCAACATACTAAATGCCACTAGCATGTTTTCAAGTTGCTTTGAAAATGCCACCTGTTCTTTCCCCAGGAAGTTAAAAATGAAAGTTTCTCCTCAAACAGTTCAGAGCTTCATGGGTAGCTGTTCGATTCCCTTCCTTCCCCTAATACCAAGCATTATGAATGGCCCATGCCTCCACCTTCCCAGGTAAATAGTACGGAGTATAGAGCTATGGAGACCATCACTTTCTCACCTGGGATCCTGAATAAGTCAATCACAGAATCATTCTGATGGTCACTTGGTATTGAAATTGGACTGAAAATATACATGAGGTCGGAGAACAATTTGTAATGTCCAACGTGGTAAGACTTTGACTTCGGTTCATTATCAGCTTGCCCACTAAGCTGGCCCAGGAATGGAGAGCCACTTGTGAGCCCTGTCTTTCTTTTTCTTTAAAAAAGTGTTCCTGATGTGCGCATTCCTATTTTCTTGTACATTATTCATGCTGGTTACTTCGTTTCCTTGTTCTGTGCCTCCCTTTGGACTAGCGTGCCCAACTAATTTCTGAAACAGGTAAATCACTATAATTCTTTGGGATTAATCCACAATGAATGTGATTTTCGTTAATTCATCCTAAAATCAAAATGGTAACATTGGGGCCTTTTTTAGTACCTTTTGGGGGCAGACTCAGAGCTCACCTCATTTTGCACGATTATTCCATAATGTTGGCTGTTGAATTCTGTAGAAGATGGTGCATCTGTTCAGGACCAACACTGTAGGCTCCTTGAATCCTAAGTGGGGTGGGTAAGCTGATATTTAATTTTTAATGTTAATGCTTTTTAATATTAATGTTGACACATTGATGTATTTGCTAATACAAAGGGTAAAATGAATCCCTTTTCCTCAGTAGTGCAAAGAGGAGATTATTACAAAAGACATTCAGATCATGACAGTGACAAGCCTTCCAGTAAAGGGAAAAGATCTTCAAAACTGTACTCCACCATTGCAGAAGAGGAGGTGAATGCAATTGGGCACAGGAAGTCACAGCCAACAAATGGTTAGAGCCTTCGATTATCATCCCTCACTGCCCCAAAGCTTACGAACTGGCACTAACAAAAACAAACTTTAATTGAGTAGTGTCTATCTTCATACAACTGATTTTTTTTTTCCTAAATGGCGACAGAATGGCCCTTCCATTTGAGGCAAAAAGTATTGTCTTAAAAATCTAATATTAGAATTTCTCATGAGGAGGATCAAGTTATCTTGGAGTATGGTGACGTTTCCTTTGAAATTTTTGTGACCATGTAGGTTTATTTTTACATTTGGGGTCATGTCTCCTATCCTCTTCCTTTATCTCTTTGTTCTATTAGGTTTAAACTAGGATTGGATCAGAAATTCTTAAAGCAACAATACTTTGTACCTTTAGGGAATATTGGCCTAACACCTTACCTTAAATTCTTTTAGGAAAGGATCAATAGAAAGCCAGTGACTAAATGTAGAACTGTGCCATGCACATGATCTTTCAGTGGGCATTTTGTGACCTTTTAGTAAGAAAGAAAAATACCAATTAACTTTTTTTTAACCTCTAGGAACAATTTATTCTTAATTTTATAGCAGTCACTCTATGACTTTTGCCTTCCATTTCACACTGTAGTAAATTCTGTAATGCTCTGTTCAGGTGAAGACAGCCCCAGGAGACAAAAAGGAGACATTTCAAATCAGCTGTACTCTCCAAAGGGAAATTTTAGAACAATGATTGCTGATTCAAAGAGGAACTGTCTTTCCTGTGACTAATTCATCATTTCCCTGGTTAATAAATTTTTTTGGTTTGTTTGGTTTTTGTTTTAGCTGAGCCATCCTGCCACCTATTGGCAGCTTAGCGGCAGCTCAGCTCAAGCCGGGACTCGAACCACTGTTGCTCAGAGCTCGCACTCTTGAGCGAGCTCTTAACCAACTGAGCCACTCGGCCGGCCCAATAAATTTTTATAAGTATAACTTGAAAAATATTTTAAAGGAAATCTTAGTATCATAAAGAAAAAGAATATATAATATTCTGCTTTGTGAAATTTCCTTAAAGGACGCCTTCCCTTTATTTTGTTCTTGCAAAACTTTATCAGGGGTTGACATATGAGTGAATTGGTTCCAGGGATGAAGAGCATGGTATAACATTCTAGCTATAACTCCACACCCTTCACTGCCTCCTGAGAAAGTACCCTAGAAGGCAAGTCAATGGGAATGACTTCGTTATAGGAATAACTTCTCTTTATTGCAAAAGGATAAACCATTCTCAAACTTGAGCACATTATTATTGATAGTAAACCTCCTTGACACACTTTAGTTTAACAGCCCAATGAGTTATGATGCCTCAAGTGGGAATTGTTGTCTTAAGAACTCTCCTTAACAGAGATTTAAAAAAAAAAAAATCCTGATAAAACATTTACCAGCTCCCCACCAGCAATAGCACTTGGAGCCAGCCTTCTGGGCCAATACTGTTGGATAGGACATGTGTTTTGATTTGCTTAGTGGTCTGGTACACACTAGCTAGATGATATGGTGGAGTTAAGGATGAGACCCACAGCATAGAGCGAAGTCTGAAGGTCATGTAGGGATAGACCATTCTGTTTGGGCCAGGTAGCACCTGCGTAGAGAAAACCCATTGACTTGCTCCTTCACTTGTAAAGGATTTCTTGTATGGTAGACATGTTTATAAACAGGTGGTTACAGTAACTCTTCTCTCTACATGAGATTTTCTCTGATATTTTCAAGGAAATCTGTTGTCTTCAATCTTTAAAAAATTACATAAATGAGCACCTAACACATTTATTTTCTGAAGAGAGGCAAAGTTACTTTTTAGAGTATATCGAATCTCTGTCTCTATATTGCCTCTTTTGATAAGGACACACAAGGTCACATAAATGTGTCTAGGTTTTGGAAATTTACATTTGTACTATTGTATCAGTTGACTTACATCACTTAATTATTAACAAAGCACCCTTTATGCAATGCAGTGTTCCATCTACATTAAGCCACTGAAAGCACTTTCTGCAATACGGAAAAAGACCACCCTTCAGTACCACACCAATCATCCTGAAAGGCTTTGAATTAGAGTAAAAATAAGATGAAGACAGAGATAAGTTAAATGTTAGAAAGGCAAGAAATTCTGTGTCTGTCTCAGATTTTTTTATGACCCCTTTGGCTTAAAATTCTGATTGTGATGGGCTGTGTCAAATTTTGATGGAATTAAATAGGACCATCTTGTATGTGCTTTTTCACCTTGATTTCTTGAAATATCAGAACAAAAAGTTATTTTTTACAGGAGCTTCAATTAAAGTAATTTTACATATAATATTTTAATTTTGTTTTGTTTTGTTAGTGCCAATTCC